ACAGATCTACTCCAAAACCTTAGGAACCAACAGCCTGTTCTGGACTTCCCACATAGATGCGACAGTCAAGGAGGCACAACAACGCCTCTTCTTCCTCAGGCGGCTCAGGAAATTTGGCATGTCCATGATGTCTCTCACCAACTTCTACAGATGCACCATGAAAGCATACTGTCTGGGTGCATAAAGGCCTGGTATGGCAACTGCTCTGCCCAGGACCGTAAGAAACTACAGAAGGTGGTGTGCACAGCCCAGACCATCACGGAAGCCAACCTTCCATCCATGGACTCCATTTACACGGCTCGCTGCTGCGGAAAAGCTGCCAACATCATCAAAGACCCATCGTAATGATCTCCTACAACCTCTTCCATCAGGGAGAAGATTTTTTTTTAATTCATTCACAGGATGAGGGCATCCCTGGCTCGGCCAGCATTTATTGCCCATCCCTAATTGCCCAGAGGGCAGTTAAGAGTCAACCATATTGCTGCGGGTCTGGAGTCACAATGTAGGCTAGACCAGGGAAGGATGGCAGTTTCCTTACCTAAAGGACATTAATGAACCAGATGGATTTTTCCTGACAATAGATTCATGGTCATCATTAGATTCTTAATTCCAGATATTTATTGAATTCAAATTCCACCATCTGCCATGGCAGGATTTGAACCCAGGTCATCGGAACATTATCTGTGTCTCTGGATTAACAGTCCAGCGATAATACCAGTAGGCCATTGCCTCCCCTTGAACAGACACACCAACCCATTCAGTAACAGCTTCTTCCCTCCCTTTATTAGACTGATGAATGGACTCTGTAACTTCAAATAATGCTGGTCTTGTTAATGTTGACCTTGCCTAGCGCATGTCCTGTGTGGTGTAACCTAATTGCCTCACTCTGTCAAAGTATTTTCCACTCTATGATCTGTTTGCCCTTGATTACTATGATCTGCCTGTACTGCTCGCAAACAAAGCTTTTCACTGTACTTAGGTACACATGACAATAAATCAATCAATCAAAAACAAAGTTTGCTCCGTTGCTTTTTATTTAAAATTGTTTTTCCCCCTTTCGGGGAGCACAAAGTAAAAAAAAGTCTGTGACTTTAAACTACTGTGAGTCATAATGTCTGTGCATTTTCCAGTCCTTGTTGCTGTGGAAAAGCAGTATAGAAAATAACAGCAGAAGTAGGCCATTCAGCCCTTTGAGTCTGCTCTGACATTCAATATGATAGTAGCTGATCATCCAACTCAGCCCCCTGTTCCTGCTTCCCCCCGTCCCAGTACCCTTTCATCCCTTCAGCCCCAAGTGCTATATCCAACTCCATGAAACCATAAACAAAAACAGCAATTGCTGGAAAAGTTCAACAGGTCTGGTGGCATCTATGGAGAGAAATTTCAGCTTTTGTTTCTGATTTGCAGCACCTACGGTTCTTTTGGTTTTCCTTGAAACCCCCTGATGTTTTGGCCCCAGCTCCTTTATATGGAAGTGAATTCCACAGGCTCACCTAGGAGACAGAATTGGAAATTTTCACCTTTCCTGTATTAGAGATAGTAGGAACTGCAGATGCTGGAGAATCTTCTGATACTGTACAACTGATTTTCTGAAGAAGGGTCTAGGCCTGAAACGTCAGCCTTCCTGCTCCTCTGATGCTGCTTGGTCTGCTGTGTTCGTCCAGCTCTACACCTTGTCATCTCACACCCTTCCTGTGATCAGTGCTCTGATGCCTCTGGCTGAGGCTGGACACGACGGGCCGAATGGTCTTCTCCTAGCTACAACCATTGTGGGATTCTCTGTTCTGCAAGAATGTCTTTCAGTGTCATAAAGCGGTTTCCGGAGAGCGATGGTAAAACCAAGAGATGGTTGGGGTTGCAATGAGACTGGCGGCTGGGAAAGGGTTAAAAGAGCCGGGGGCTGGTTCGTTTCAGTTCACATCACGAGGAGATACTGTGATCAGGAATAGGGGGCAGGTACCGGATATTGAGGCGCTGTGGGACTGATTCTGTGTTTGTGGGCACCGGGACAACAACAGCATTCTCCTGAAGCTGGCTACAGCAATGAGCCAGGAGCTCTCAGACACACATATACGGAGAGAGAGAGACAGCCAGGACATGCCGACTTTGCTCCGGGTGCAGAGCGCTGTCCCGTTCCTCCTGCTCCTAGCCCTCTCCCAGTCTCCTGCAGGTGAGTACTTCCCAATTTATCCACCTACAGTTATTTCTAGAGGCTGCTCCGGTTAAAAACAAAATCAATAAGTGGGGAAAAAAAAGTTACGTCTTTAAGGCGCCACTTTGTCTTTTTAAAGTTACTACGTTGTTCGAAGTGATAGGGGAACTATGCTGAACCTCTGCGTACCTCTTAATTGCAACTTCTTGTAATATTCTTTCAACATAGCAACGCTAAATGCTGCGGTTTTAACGACTTTGTTCGGTAAATAATCCGCGAAAACATCGGTGAAGTTATTCCTGCAAAGTAGTGGTTGTGGGCACCGACTGTCGCTGTTATCTGTGTAAATACCGACCGTTCCTGGGTTAGAGCCACACTTCTACGGTTTGAATCATCATCGTTCAGCAAATTGCTTTGGTTTTTTTTATCATTACACTGAAAGCCACTGTTACGGGCGATAGAATCTCAGACCGGTTACAGCTAATAAGAGACTATTTGACCCCCCTCTCAGTAAAAGAGCTAGGAGTGACACCAGGAGAAACATCCTTACTCGGTTATTTTCTGAAGAAGGGTCTAGACCCGAAACGTCAGCTTTCCTGCTCCTTTGATCCAGCTCTAAACCTTGTTATATCTTACTCAGAGTTGTTTAGGATTTGGAATGCACTGCTTGGGAGAGTGGTGGAGGCAGCCTCCATAGGAAGTTTCAAAAGAGCTAGATACATATCTGAAAGCAGTGAATTTAGAGGGTGCTGGAGAATGGGACTGTTAGCTCTTTTTGGCAGCTGGAACAGGCACAATGGGATGAATGGTCTTCTGGACTGTAAAATTCAATGATTCTAAGTATAAAACATTTGAGTGTGTAAGATAATGTGTGATTCATATAATTACAGTTCTACAGGGGTGGCAAGTGTAGAGAGAGTTGAATGGATTGGGATTGGGGTGGGGAAGAGAATAAGAACCTAAAAATAGGGCCTGGAAGGAAGCACCTCCACAGAAACTGTCAGACCTGTGGGGAGAGAGAAAAACAATCAGTTCTTCAGTCTGTGAACCTTTTCAACAGCTTTGAGTTCTAATGAAGGGTCATTGACTTGAAATGTTAACTGGGTTTTTCCTCTGCCTGACCTGCTGAGTTTTCTCTCTCGTTCTGATTTCCAACACCCACTGGATTTATCTTTTGGTCTTGAGGTATATATGGCACACCTTTTTTAAAATAGTGAGAAGGTTATGGATGTACTCTAGTTTAAAAGGTATTTGGCTTCTGAGCCACTTCAACTGAGGCAAGGAGTTTTTGAAAAAAACAGGCTATGATGAGCCTTTGTAATTTATAAAGAAATGCTTTGGGGTCAGCTGGTGTGTGGTGACCAGTCCTTTTTTTTAAGCAAGGATATGAAGGCATTAGGGTGGCTCAGTGGTTAGCACTTCTGCCGCATAGCGCCAGGGACCCGGGTTTGATTCCACCCTCTGATGACTGTCTGTGTGGAGTTTGCACATTCTCCCTGTGTGTGTGGGTTACCTCCGGGTGCTCAGGTTTCCTCCCACAGTCCAAAGATGTGCAGGTTACGGTTGTTTGGCCCATTGTGTCCAGGGATGTGCAGGCGAGCTAGACTAGCCATGGAAATGCAGGGCTACAGGGATAGGGTAGGGAGATGTGTCTGGTTGGGATGCTTGTCAGAGGGTCGATGGACTGAATGGCCTGCCTTTGCACCCAGGGTGTAGGAAAGATTCACAAGAATGGCTCCTTGGAACTTCAGGGATGTGGATAGATTGAAGTTGGGACTGCTATCCTTGGAGAGGAGAAGAGAAGGCTCAAATGAGGTTTTCAAGATCGTGAGGGGTCTGGACAGAACTGAGAGCAAGCTGAACCAGAGGTTACTGATTTTTAAGGTGATTGGTAAAAGAAGCAAAGGCGACATGAGGAAAAGGCCTTTCAAACAGTGAGCAGTTGGGGTTTGGAATTTGCAGTGTGTATGTCGGGCAGGGGCAGTTCAATCAGGGAATTAGAGGGATAATGAGCTGGAAAGAGCAGATTGGTAAGGTTATTGGAGAAGGGTGGGAAAGTGCTCAAGATGGGCTGAACAGCCTCCTATGCCTGTTACCATTGTGATTCTAGCTAGGTTAATAATACTCAAGTGCAGATAATGTCAGTCTCATCAATGTACTAACTGGGAAGTGGGGAGAATGGAAATTTAGAATTGAAGATGAAACTTATGCTGTGTATATACAGGTCTTGTCAGAGTAAGTCAAGAAGTTGTACAGTGAAACACTGCAGACAGACTTCTCAGCTGATCCCTCTGTGTTTGCTGCACCTACATTGTGCCTTTTCCAGCTTTGGGAAACTTTATCAAGTTCCTGATTTTGAGGATTATTGATAGCTTGAAGCCTAAAATTAGGAAGGAAAAAGCCAGAACTGAGGGGTCTTTAGAGGGTACATGTGGGAAGGATGTTCCCCCTTGTGGAAGAAAGTAGAACTAAGGTACACTACCTTTTTTTTAAGAAAAAGAAGCTGCCAGTTTAAAAGAAGAGAAATTCTTTTCTCAGGATTCTCCTTGAAAATGTTCATGAATATTTCTTAAGGCAGAGGTTGATTTTTGAAGCAAGGGTTGATAAGCAAAGTGGTTATAGGTGATTGGGGATAGGAGGGACTATGGATTAATCAGATCAGCAGCAAGGGGCAGAGCAGGCTTGAGGGTCTGAGTGACCTATTGGAAGGATTGATGTGTGAAGAGAGACTGGATCAGTTAGGACCATATTCACTGGAGTTTAGAACAATGAGGATAGATCTCATAGACACCTATACGATTCTAACAGAACTAGACAATGCAAAGCCGGAAGGATGGAGTGAATTCACATTCGGTCATGTGTGTTGCTGGTGGCTTTTTTCTGTCTATCCCTTGTTGCCCTGAGGGTGCTGGTGGAAAACACCTTGAACCAAAACAGTTTGTAGATTGACAAGTGACCATGTTGATCTGAGGACTGAAGTCCTCTAGAGCAGACTGGGTAAAGGAAGCAGGTTTCCTCTTCCTAAGGCCCTTTTTTTTTCCAGAATTTTATAATGGAAAGAATTAAGCAGTGTCAGCATTTGTAAACGAGTGCAAAAAAAATTGATTATTTCGGAGTCTTTTATGACTGGATGTTGCTTAGTTGTTTCAACTTGTTTCCAATTATGTTTGTTATAACACGAAAGAATTTCTATGAAACTGGATTAGCAACTTTGACTTGTTCAGTTTGAGTGTTGGGTTATCTGGGTGCAAAGTTTTTTTTACTTGTTACAAATGAATGTCATGACCATATGTAAAGCTGACCAGAAACTTACTTTTTAATGAACCTGTTCATGGATGTTATGACCTACCTCTAAAGCAGGTAGGACTTGAACCTGGAGCTTCTGGTCCTGTGGTAGGGACATGACTGCTGTGCTTTCAAGGCCCCCTGTAAAACTGACCACAATTTGGTAGCAGACTCTCTTCAGCTGGTAGCTTGATGACCTGAGCATGTCGTGGTGCAGTATTGGGGGGGATGCTGCATTATTGAAAGTGTTCCTCAATTGAGATGGCAAAGACTGCTGTTTGCAGTCGTCTTCAATCATAATTTGGTACAGAGATCAGCTGGCCTAATTGTTTCTGCCCAGTGCATGCTCAGAGCTAACGTATTGTCCTTAAAATACTGCATATTGTAATTGAAGTATTTTTACCAATTCTCTTTTAAAAGCTGCTGCTAAATATGCTTCCACTGCCTGTTTGAGCAATGGAATCTGGATCATTGAAAATAGGAGCAGGAGTAGGCCATTCGGCCCTTCAAGCCTGCCCAGCCATTCAATATGATCACGGCTGATCATCCAACTCAGTGCCCTATTCCTGCTTTCTCCCCCATACCCTTTGATCCCTTTGGCCCTAAGAACTATATCTAACACTGTCTTGAAAACACTCAATGTTTTGGCCCCTTCCACTCTCCTGTGGCAGAGAATTAAACAGGCTCACCACTCTGGGAGAAGAAATTTCTCCTCTCCTCAATCCTCAATCATCTACACTGTATTGTTAAACAGTGACCTCTGGTTCTGGACCCCCAGGTCATTGGGAATGTCCTTCCTGCAATTACCCTGTCTAGCCCTTTTGGAGTTTTATAGGTTTCTATGAGCTCTATTCTCATTCTCCTAAACTCCAATGACTATACTCCTAACCAATCCAATCTGTCTTCACACATCAATCCTGATATCTCTGAAATCAACCTAATAAACCCTAGTTGCACTCTGTCCATTTCTAGAATATCCATCCTCCGATAAGGAGACCAGAATTGCAATACAATACATAGAACATTACAGCGCAGTACAGGCCCTTCGGCCCTCGATGGTTTCACAGGTCGGCGCAACAATCTGAAGCCCATCTAACCTAAACTATTCCATTATCATCCATATGTTTATCCAATGACCATTTAAATGCCCTTAAAGTTGGCGAGTCTACTATTTTTGCAGGCAGGGCATTCCACGCCTTTACTACTCTGAGTAAAGAACCTACCTCTGACATCTGTCCTATATCTATCACCCCTCAATTTAAAGCTATGTCCCCTCATGCTAGCCATCACCATCCGAGGAAAAAGGCTCCCACTGTCCACCCTATCTAATCCTCTGAACATCTTGTATGTCTCTATTAAGTCACCTCCTAACCTCCTCCTCTCTAATGAAAACAGCCTCAAGTCCCTCAGCCTTTCCTCATAAGACCTTCCCTCCATACCAGGCAACATCCTGGTAAATCTCCTCTGCACCCTTTCCAATGCTTCCACATCCTTCCTATAATGCGGTGACCAGAACTGTACGCAATACTCCAAGTGCAGCTGCACCAGAGTTTTGTACAGCTGCAACATGACCTCATGGCCCCGAAACTCAATCCCTCTACCAATAAAACCTAACACACCGTACGCCTTCTTAACAACGCTATCAACCTGGGTGGCAACTTTCAGTGATCTATGCACGTGGACACCGAGATCTCTCTGCTCATCCACACTACCAAGAATCTTACCATTAGCCC